TCTGTCGTAAAGTTAGTAACTTTGCTATGTAGAGGCGAAGTATTTCGCCATCAATGGTGAGTTCATCAAACTTATGAAAAGGCACCCATGGGAAGACAACTTTCCCCAATCATTGCCGAAATTTTCATGTATCATTGAAAATGTGGCCCGTTCCACGAATCCTGGACGTGTTTCCTTGTGTTTGCTAAAGACGTGTTGACGTTATTTTTGCCATCTGCCCAGTGGTGATGAAAACAAGCTATGCTAGGCCTTTTTACTGACATCTTCCTTCAAAATACTGACTTAGCCGTTGAAAGAGAAAACAATGTTGCCTTACATATTCTTTGTCTGAATAATTAATTCAGGTAACTGTTATATGACTAAAGTATATCTTAAATCTGCTAACACTGACAAGTATATAAGCTTTAATCCACAGTGATATAAATGGTGAAATAATTTTAGTTATAGCTTCAGTGGACAGAGCTCTGAAGCTCGGCCGTAATAATTTTCTTAATGAATAAACTGAACATTAAATTAACCTAGCTCTGATAATTATGTTAAATTTATTAATATTATGAGCAGTAGAATAACGTACTTGATATTGACTTGTAGCATCAGTAATGTGAAAAATAATGTTTTCATTCAGTCGATTCCGATGACCGCTCATACTTTGGTATCTTGGCATCAGACATGTCAGACTTTCTTCAACGTTTCTGATACATTGTCAGTATTTAACCCACGTCTGAACCAGAGTTTGTCGATACACTTTCTCCAGGTCATTCTTGGCCATCCCCGGAGTTTTCAAACGGTCGGTTGGCCAAATAGTAGCTCTTTCGCTTCATAGGCATTTGCTAGACGTGCACAAATCATCGCAGCTGTGATTTCAATTCGTAGAAGCAACGGCTTACACAAAGGGTTTCACATATTTGAACTCTGAATCATGCGCAGATGCGGAAGCCCAGGGATTCGTGTGAGAACGCATAGTTCAGCCCCTTGTATCCCGAATCGAAGTTTTTCGGTTACGGCCCTCGGTTCATGACCATAAGTGAGCATGGCGATGAAGATCGACTTGAACACAACTTAATCTTCAAACTAGCTCTAGTTTAATCACAACGATTCGAGCTAATTCACGCAGAACACTGCTGGCCATTGCAGTTCGACCGTCGATATGTTCCTCCTAATTTAGATTATTAGTAAGTACGATCCTGAGGAGCGTTATTTTATTATTCATCATTTTTATTAGTTTATCGATTATATTTTAAGTGATAAACCTTAATGGGCTTTTATAAAAGCTTGAGGGAAAAACTACAAAGGTTATTTAATACTAAGTATAATTCTGACGTAGTATATTAAGTAATTCTGTGAATAAAAGCTTCCTAAGATGGTTTTAGAAATTGGCATGCAATAGAAATAGGAAACGGGATCACTCAGAGAGCCATGACCCATCTGTCTAGCTGGAGATGGGTGAGCGCGGACGAATGTG